CCTGGATTACCAAGCAAGCCCAATATAATCACATGAGTCCTTAAAAGCAGAAAGGGGAGAAGAAGAGTGGGTCCGTGAGATGAGATGGAAGGAGGAACAAGAGGGATTTTCAATGTGAGAAGGACCCAACCAGCAATTGCTGGCTTTGAAGAAGGAGAAAGGGGGACACCAGGTGAGGCATACAGCAGCCTCACAAAGCTGGGAATAGCCCCCTCCATTTTCAGCAGCAAGAACACAGGGACTTTGGTCCTACAGCTTCAAGGAATGGAACACGCTGCCAACAACCCCATTGAGCAGGAAACACATTCTCCCCCAGGGCCTCCAGAAAGAAACGCAGCTTGCCTGCCCCTTGATTTTTGTCCCATCAGACTTGTACCAGACTTCTGATCTACAGAACTATAATATAACACATGTGGCTTGTTTTAAGCCTCTACGTTCTCGGTGATTTGTTATGGCAGCAATTGAAAACTAGTAATGCAAGCTTTTGATACCAGGAGGGGGCTACTCCTGAAACAAATACCAAACAATGTGGGAGTGGCTTCGGAGAAGACTCCAGAAGAATTCTGAGGAGCATAACAAAAACAAACAAACAAACAAAAAAACCCCTAGACTGTTTGAATAGGTTGTTGGTAGAAATAAGGACATTAAAGACTGCTGATGAGGGCTCAGAAGCAACCTTGTTGCTTGAATGGTTGTAAACAGACTATTAGTAGGGATCCAGGGCTTTAAGGATGCTGCTGGTGAGGACTCGCAAAAAACTGAGGAGCAAGCTATTGGAAACTGGAGAAAGGGGAATTCTTGCTTTACGGTGGCAGAAAGCTTAGTGCAATTATGTCCTGCAGGAAGGGTGGAAAGCAGAACTTGTAGGCAATGAGCTTGAATATTTAGTGGGTATTTCCAGCCAAAGGTGTTGAAGGTCCAGCCTGGTGTCTTCTTGCTGCTTATGGTAAAACCCAAGAGGAGAGAGATACGTTGAGGGAAGAATGGTAAACAAGAAGGAAACAGGACTTCAGGAATTTGGAAATCCTCAGCCTACTCACATGGAAAAGATACTAAATTTTAAAAACTGTCAGGAAAGCATGCTTTGCGAAAACGTCGAGGGTGTCGCTGAACAACCTTTTGCTAATACCTCAGAAAGATCCAAAGTTCTGAATTCAACAAAAGGCTCCCTGAAGAGATGAAGGGTGTGACTCATAGCTTGCCTCTGCCATCCCAGCAGAAGCCAAAGATAGAGAAGGGATTTCTCAGACAGATCTGTGGATGAGCCACTTGTCTAGCATGGTGAATCCCTCTGATACACATGACCTGGAATGTTCTGGAAGATTTTCTGCCAGCTGAAACATGGCCAGCTTGGACCTGAAGGGGCAGAAACAGCATAAAATGGAGGGAGACTGTGGGACCACTAAATTCTAGATGCAGGAAACAGGTTGATTAGAATATTCAGCTACAAACAGACAGGTGCTCCCTTTAAGGAGGAAGAAAGGATAGCTCGAAGGGCAGAGCCTTGAGCCCAGAGGCATGAAAACCACAGAGGATTTATCTCAGGCCTTGAGACAGAATGGCTGTTGCCCTGCTGGATTTCAAAATTGCTTGGGACCAGTCACTCTCTTGTCCTTTGTTCTTCTCCCTTTTTGAACTAGAATATCTATAACTGATATCCTATACCTGCCCTCTCATGGTATCTTTGGAGCAGATGATTTGTTTTAGTTTCACAGGTTCACAAGTAGAGCGACTCACACCCAGAGTCTCACCCCTACCTTGTTTAGATGATAAGATTTGGGACTTTTGAGCTGATGAGACTTTTGGACTCTGAGTTGATGCTTTAATGGGATGAAATTTTGGGGAGTCTTGGAATGAGGGTAAATGCATTTAGCCCATTGGATGGATGTAAATGTTTGAGGGCCGAGGGACAGACTGGGGTAGGTGGCACCATGACTCCCCCAAATGTCCATGCCTTAATCCTCACCTCCTATGACTACATTACCTCACACAGCAAAAGGGACTTTGCAGATGTGATTAGATTTCAGGACCCTGAGATGGGGAGATTATCCTGGATTATCAAGGTGGGCCTGGTCTAATCACATGCATCCTTAAAAGTGGAGAATCTTTCCAGCTGCAGAGAATCAGAGAGATGGCATCTGGAGAAGGACTCTACCTGCTATTGCTGGCTTTGACCATAGAAGAAGGATGCTGTGAACCAAGGTTGCAACAGCCTCTAAAAGCTGGGAATGCCCTCGGCTTACAGCCAGCAAGAAAAAGAGGATCTTGGTCCTCTATTTGCAAGGAATTAAATTCCACCAACAATCCAAATGAGCAGGAAACAGCTTCTCTCCTGGAATCCTCAGAAAGGATCACAGCCCTGCCCACACCTCAAGTCCACTACGGGGAGACCCATACCAGACTTCTGACCTACAGATCTGCAGTTTGGGTTGTTTTAAGCCATAACTGGTGACAGTTTGTTCTGGAAGCAATACAAAGCTCATGCAGCTATTATTCTGAGCTTTAATTGCAGTCTGCTTTTAACTTGGAAAAATATTAGAAATGTTTCCCCGTGTCACCAAATACTGCCCAGTGGTTCTGGGCAATGTCATTTTGAGGGGCCTCATAGAATTCCAGTGTTGACGAATCTCCTCCTGTTGCAGGATTAGATTGCTTATGCTTTTGACTGTTAGAAATAATGGTGGTTGTTACTTTTCTGTATGCATGTTTGCACCCATCCTTGATTACTTCCTTAGGAAGTGCTGTGTAAAGTATATTGGTCTTTTTCAATGAGTGTTTAATTAACAGGTGCTTATTCTCAACTGGGGCCTTCCTCCGGGATGCGGAATAGAGGGATCAGAGGGGCCTGTGGATGATTCTGGTGGGTTCCCCGGAGGCAGGCAGGGTCTATTACCTTTCCACTTGGTTTCCTCAACCCTTCCATGAGCAATAAAGCCTGCCTTGCAGAACTCGTGTAACTATTAACAGACAAGGTTTATAATAGTGCTAACGCATAAAGATGTGCCGTAAAGAGGAAGCAGAGTCAAGCCATGTGTTGAGGAGACATCTGCCCTCACAGGACCTCCCTGCAGATGTAGGTGGGTGGGGGCTATGCAGCCCCCAGCCTCACCGTCCAGCAATGTCTAGATAAGTGTCCGAACATGGCAGCATTTTCCTCAGACGACTCTAAGATTTGCCATTCGATGGCAGACCTGTTCCTGCCTGTATGTATTTTGCTTCCCTTCTCCTTCCCTGGCTTCCTCATTGAGGGCCAGGCTTTCATTTGATACACAGGTGGATTTTGAGACCAGCCAACAAGCCATGCCCTTCCCTTCAGAACATGTAACTTCCGAAACTCCGAATGACTTTTCCGGAGTGGATGTGGGTTCATTTCCCTTTACCTCAAAATGTCTCTGGTCTCAAGCTCTTTGTGACTTCCTAGGGGCTCGTGAAAGTCGGTCAGAAATTGTAGAACATTAAACTGGACCACTATGTATACTTTAACGTATACAGTATACGCTTTAAAGGGGTGGTTTACCTTAAACCACCAAGCAATAAAATCGGTAACCTCGTTTCACCCCAGGGTGCTAGACCTATCCATTTCCTACACCATGCCCTCTCCTCCTTGTGACTGTTGCCCACCCTCTCCACTGTGGTAATAGTGTCCTTGGCCTATGAAAATTGCTAAATGTCCCCCTGTATCATCCAGTGACAAGGCAAAAAAGGAGGAGAAGGAGAAAGAGGAAGAGAAAGAGAAAAACTGCTCAAAACAAGAGGAGTAAGTACTGAGAAGAGCTGCCTCCAATGAAGGGGTGCAGAGGTCACAGCAGGCCTGGCCCCTCCCTGGGTCCTGGGAGTCTGAGAACCTCGTCGTCAGGCCTTGGTGTCGGCCCTGGAGAGGGGCTGCTTAGTGCTGTGGGAGCAGAGTTGGTCCCAGGTGGGGATCAGGCTTCCTGAGACGGTGTGAGGGGCCCACTCTGCAGGGAGAGTCCTGCCCCAGCTCTGAGCACCCAGAGGGGGCTTATAGGTTCAGAGGGCTGTCTGCAGCCTTGGGTGAGCAACTAGGGGCTGTCCTTGTGAGCCTGCTCCTGCGCACCCCCACCCCACATTCTCTTTGCCTGTCTACACAGTCGGGGTAAGCTGAGGCCTACTCCTGGGCACTAGGAAATACTATATTCTCAAACTTCACTCCAAACCCAGTGGTGATGTGCACTGGGAACATTCCAAAGCCCTGTCAGTGAGCTGTTGATCTTGCACCCGCTGAGTCAAGGCAAAGGCAGAAAGATATCCCGGGGTCTCCTCCGGGGCATGGCAGCAGCTCTGCAGGCCTAGGCCAGCTTGTGGGGCATATGGGGTGGGAGAGAAGACACATGGCCCTAAAGAAAACGAAGAATCTCCAGTACCACCTCTAAACTCTAATCCTCAGAAAATCCTGAAAATAAAAACAGAAAGCACCCTAAGCTGTTGCTTCCTTCAGTGTTGGCCCACATAACCTAGATGATTCCCAGGCTAGCTGGTTTTTGATGGAGAGACAGGATCCAAGCGCCTGGACATGAGTCTTCAGATCATCTGCCCAAATGCACTGCTTCAGAACCACTGGGCAGTGTATAAAAGCACATCTCCAGCCCCAGCCCTGGAGGGTTCTGGGTGGGCCCTGGGAATCAGCGTTTTCACAGAGCTCCCCCAGATGGTTCCAACATTACCATGCTGCATTTGATTCCCAGCATGCTGAAGGACATGGGTGATACCATGGGCACATGGGAATGTCATCACCATAATTTTATTGTCAGCTGTGGCTCCCTGGGGAGCTGAACTAGGAGGGAAGGACCTCCAGAGTCTGCCCTCTCCCAGCCTGTCCCCCCATGTAGGGATACCCCATGTGACTCCCGAGACTGACAGGACGTGTCTCTTGAGTTTAGCCTGCAGTTGCCATAGGGCCTCTAAGCTAAGCTGAATCTTGAAGACTGTCCAACGATGTGATCTTTCAACACGCTGCATTGTTTGTGTGTCGATGTTTCCAGAAACAAGGACAGCGTGGTGGTGGACCCCTCCAGCAACATGTACTACCGCTGGTTGACTGTCATTGCCCTGCCTGTCTTCTATAACTGGTGTCTGCTGGTGTGCAGGTAGGGGTGGGGGCAGGGTATCCACACAAGGAGGGGGTGAGGGTGGCGGGGCCAGGAAGGGTGAGGGCAGTCAGGCCTCAAGACGGAGCTCTGGGTCCCACTCAGGGGACTGGATTTCTGGGCCCCACGTGGCCACCATCCAACTGAGTGTACCCACTTCTCCATCAATAAGGAGGATCTAAAAGAGCACCATCAGAGTTCTCTGAAGCACCGGTGAGGACTTGTGCTTGTAATGGACAGCAAGGGTCCTGTCGAACATTCTTAATCCAGCTGTAGGAGGAAGATGCAGGGGCGAGTAGCTACTCTTCTGAGGGGCAGTGGGTGGGGGTTGGGCATTCCTGAGCAGCCAACAGGACAAGGACACAGGGAAGGGCACAGTTCTCTGTAAGCTGTGGGCTGTGGGCCCCCCCAGGCAAGTTGCAGTGCTGGGGTGTAAGCTGCTGCCCTTGTGAGGGCAGTCGGGGCCTTTAGGGTGCTCCTGAGAGGGCCTGCGGGACAGGGATGCAGGGCGAGGGTAGATGTGGGCTTCGGGAAGTTCCCTGCAAATGTACTTTTGGGATGCAAGGCAAGCTGTTGCTCTTCTGGGGAGAGCTGGAGGCTCTGGAACTTTCCTAAGCAAGCTGTAGGAGGCAGGTGCAGGGTGAGCTGCTAACTCTTCTAATAAGGGATCAGGGGAGGGAGGTTTTAGGGTCTCCTAGGAAATTTGCTGTATGGCAATACAGGGGCAGGATGCTGCTCTTCTGAAGGTAGGCTGGGGGTCTGGGCTCCCTGAGCAAGTGTACAGGATGGGGGGTGCCAAGGGGCTATGTTCTCCTGAGGGCAAACAGGACCTCTGAGCATCCCTGGGCAAGCTGCAGGCCAGGGAGGCAGGGCCGGCTGCTGCTGTCTGTGGACAAGCAGGGGCTTTGGGGCATTTCTGAGAAAGTCTGTAGGACAGAGAGGTAGGGATACCTTGTCTCTCCTCTGATGGCGTTGGTGGGAGTCTGTGTGGCCTATCTGAGTGAGGTGCCAGACAAGGATGCAGGGACAAGAGGCCATGTTTCCTGAGTGCTGGGCTTTGCTGCGCCAGCTCATGAGACAGGCCTGCAGGGGTGAGCATGGGCCTTCCCTTGGCAGCTGAGGCTTTGGGCGCTCCGGAGGGGGAGGGAGAGGCTACCCTTCTGAGGGGGCAGGGGTTTGGGGAAGCTCCTGAGCAAGCAGTTGGAGGACAGGGGGGCAAGGCACTGTTCTTCTGGAAGTACACAAGAGGCTGTGGGGCTTTTCCAAGCAAGCTTCAGGGCAGGCTAAGGGGGGAGCTGCTACTCCCTGAGAGTAAGTGACGGGGTTCAGGGCCCTTCCCAGCAGGCCTGCAGGACAAGGATGTGGGCTGAGCTGCGGCTCTTCTGAGGGTGGATTGAGGAGGTGCGGGGAAGGCAAGGGGACTCTGCGACAATCCTGAGCAAGCCTGCAAGACAGACAGCTGCTGCTTCTTGGGGAAGGGGAGGAGACATGCTACTATCTGAGTGTAAGTGGGGGCTTTGGGGGTTATCTGAGCAAGGTGGAGGCATCTCCTGCTCTTCTGAGGGGAAGTGTGGGCGTGAGAAGGGGGAGAACTTGGGCCGCTGCTAGCCCACCTGCAGGATGGGGGTAGGTGGGCAAGCTGCTTCTGTGTGAGTGGGGGTGCTGGGGCTGCAGGCAAGCTGCCATTCTGAGGAGGCATCAGGGGGTTCAGGTTGCTGAGGAGCTGCAGGGTGGGGACATAGGCCCCAGCTGCTGCTCTTTTGAGGTGAAGAGGGGTATTTAGGGGATACTGTCTGTATGAGAAATAGTGAGCCTAAGGATCTAGAAAGCAGAAAATATTTACTGGCTTGTTCCGTTGTTAATTTCTGAGAAATTCCTCTAGTTTTGTTGGCATTTGGCCCCAGAACGGGCAAGTGCTCTGTCTCCGCACATGACTCCACCAGTGAGGCCTAGAACTGTCCCTCCTGGCATCCCGGAGCTTACTGTTGAGAGGCCACAGGGCTCACTCTTTGGGGCAGAAAAGCTTCTCAGAGCTGGGTCTCTTCCTCAGAGCCTGGGGAGATAATGCTGGGGCACAAACCCTGCAGGCAGGGCTGATACCAAGATGAACGCCACCGTGTTCAGCCCGGAGCTGGTGCCTGCTTCGGACCAGCCCCCCGATGTGCGCACTCCTTCCCTCGCTTGCTTAGGGCCTGTTTCGATGACCTGCAGTCTGAGCACGTGATGCTGTGGCTCGTCCTGGACTACTCGGCAGATGTCCTCTATGGCTTGGATGTGCTGGTGCGAGCCCGGACAGGTGAGCAGGTCCAGGCCCAGGCACTTGTCTGGGCCAGGCCACAGGCCCCCCTCGTGCATCAGGAGGGGGACCACGGGGACCACAGGGCAGGTTCAGGAGTTCCAGAATAGTGGGCATCACCTCCCCGTGACCACGGGAGCCCACGTAGGTCTGGGGAAGCCCCAAAAGTGAGGGCATGGTGCTGCTCAAGCTCCTCTACAGTGGGCCTTTAGCAGAGGTCAGGGTGCCTGGGTTCTGGTCTCTGCTGTCCCAACGAGCTATGGGACCTTGAGCAAGTCGAGTTGTCTCTCTGGGTCTCATTTGTATCACCTGTGAAATAAGGCCAAACTGTCATCTCTCAAAGGACCCCTCCTGCAGTGACAGTTCAATATGGCGGGAAACAGGAGGGAGAGCTCCATCAATCTTGGAGTTCCTTTTCCCGGACAGTCGGAGGATCCAAGACATGTTACTCCGTGGTTTTAGATGTATGGAGGAATGAAATCAGAAACAGGGCCCGAGTGGAGGATGAGTTCCCTCAGATCACCTCTGGGTGTGAGTGGGGGCTAAGAGCCCCCCTTGTCTGAGGGTCCAAGCTGAATGTCCCCAAGGACATTCAGCTTGGACCCTCAGACAAGGGGTCCAAGATTAGAAAATTAGAAAAATCTTTTTCTAATCTGCACGAAGACATCACATCAGCTGGCAGGGGCCCGGCTCGTCACTTTCAAGGTTTTTGAGCTGAAAGCCATGCCATAGTTGCCAATAGAAACACCACATCACAGCAGCAAGCCTCCCTGTGGCTTCTTGGTATGCAAAGCATTTCAAACACCTCTTGGTTTCTCATGAGAACTGCTGCATGAGACAGGAAGTGCAGGCATGATTATCTCCATCTTGCTGATTTAGAAACTGAGGTCCAGAGATGCTGAGTGCCTGGCCCAAAGTGCCCCACTGGCACTCCCTGCATCTCCACAGTGCCCCGCATCATAAGTTAGAAGACCTCTGGGGCACCTGGGTGGCTCAGTCAGTTAAGCATCTGACTCTTGATTTCGGCTCAGGTCATGATCTCAGGGCCCTGGGATCGAGCTCTGTCTTGCTTCCCGCTCAGCAGGGAGTCTTCTTGTCTCCCTCTCCCTCTGTTGCTCCCCCTGCCCATGTGCACTCTCTCTTAAATAAATAAATATATCTTTTAAAAAGAAGAAGAAGAAGACCTCAAATATGCAGCTTGAGGCTTGCCTGAGTAACTTAGTCCTGGTGGTCTGCCACTTCGTGGTCACATAAGCCCACCTTGACACGAGAGCTCCACGGGTGGCCTGAGTCATTGAGCCAGCTATTCCTGTTTCAACCAAGCTTCAGTGGGACAAGTCACCCCCACTCAGACAGGTGTCCCACCCCTGTCTGTGCTTTGGTACTATCGCTGGTAATCTAAGATCAGCAGGGAGCCTCGGGGGGGAAGGCAGGTAGGCACAGAAACCAAGTGGCCATGGGTCATACTTGAAAGGGAAAAAATCTCCAGAATCAAGAGAGGACATTATTAAGGAAGTAGGGAGGAGTCCCAAGGTGCTAGGAGGGCTGTGGAATGATCTAGGGGCTCAATAAACACAATGGTAACCGAAGAATGAAACGGAAAATTAGGGCGTGGGAGGCAGGGTGTCCCTACCATGTGATCACAAACTTGATGCTTGCTTTTCACAAAGGGGGTAGTCCTGCCTCCATCTAGCCCTCCAAGTGTGACCCTGGATCAGCAGCAGCGTCATCCAGACTTGTTAGAAGTAGACCCCAGACCTCTGGAACCAGCAGTGGGGATGGCCTAGACTCTGGGTTTCACAGAACCCTCAGTATGAGTCTGATGCTTACCAAACTCTAAAAGACATTCATCATATCATTCTCTCTACTTTTGTGCATGTTTGAAAATGTTTAGAAAAAAAAAGAAGAAGAAGAATGCAAATCTCAGCCTACTTGACTGATTTTACCAGTAATAACGCCTCATGACTCTCCGATGTCCAGCTCGGCTCCAGACCAGTCTGATGCTGCATATGTTTTCAGAGCCCTTGGGATGACAGTAATGTGCAGCCAGAAAGGAGAGCTACTGCTTCCATAGGCAATGTTTTTAAAAAGCAGGTCATGGTCCATTGGTGGCTGGTGAAATCAGTTTGATAGGCCATGTGCTTCTACAATTTTTATCATTAATATTTTCAAACAAATACAAAATCAGAGACAGTAGTATTATGAATCCCCATATACCTTCACCCAGCTTCAGCATTTACCAACATTTTGCTGTTTCATCTCTTCCCCTGACACCCTTTTCTTGGCTGGAGTATTTTAAAGCCAGTCTCAGACAGTAACCACTTTAACATGTATCTCTAACTTTAAAGGATGCATTTTAAAAATATAATGTCCAGGGGCTCCTGGCTGACTCAGTCAGAAGAGCATGAGGCTCTTGATCTTGGGGTCGTGGTGGGTTCAAGCCCCACATTGGGTGTAGACATTACATAAATAAACTTAAATATATATATTTAACACATCTATTTATCTTTTAAAATTTAATAATCATTCCTTGCTATCATCTAACAGCAGTCCACATTCAAATTTAGCCAATTAATCTACATTTTTAACTGAATAAAATAGGTCAGAATATCATAGATGAGAAAATATCAGAGTGCATTTTTGTAGTAAGAGGTAAATGTGGTTTTTGAAATTGTTTCTGTCATGTATGTATAACTACGTCTTCTTTAGTTACAGTGTAAAATATTTTCCTGTGGGCCACGGTCAAAAAAAAAAAAAAAAAAGCAGTCTCTTTAATGACCAAGTGACCTCCATCTTTTTCTTTAGGCTTCCTTGAGCAAGGCTTGATGGTCAGGGATGCCCAGAGGCTTTGGAAGAATTACACAAAGACCATGCACTTCAAGCTGGACATGTTGTCCCTGGTCCCCACAGACCTAGCTTATTTTAAGTTGGGTATAAACTACCCAGAACTGAGGTTCAACCGCCTACTGAAGTTTGCCCGGCTCTTTGAGTTCTTCGACCGCACAGAGACAAGGACCAACTACCCCAATTTGTTCAGGATCGGGAACTTGGTCTTGTACATCCTCATTATCATCCACTGGAATGCCTGCATCTACTTTGCCATTTCCAAGTTCATTGGTTTTGGGACAGATTCCTGGGTGTATCCAAACATCTCAAACCCAGAGTATGGACGCCTTTCCAGGAAGTACATTTACAGTCTCTATTGGTCCACCTTGACCCTGACCACCATCGGGGAGACCCCACCCCCTGTGAAAGATGAGGAGTATCTGTTTGTGGTCATAGACTTCCTAGTGGGCATCCTGATTTTTGCCACCATTGTTGGCAATGTGGGCTCCATGATCTCAAACGTGAATGCTTCACGGGCCGAGTTCCAGGCCAAGATTGACTCTATTAAGCAGTACATGCAATTCCGCAAGGTGACCAAGGACTTGGAGACACGGGTAATCCAGTGGTTTGACTACCTGTGGGCCAACAAGAAGACGGTGGATGAGAAGGAGGTGCTCAAGAGTCTCCCAGACAAACTGAGGGCCGAGATCGCCATCAATGTGCACCTGGAGACTCTGAAGAAGGTCCGCATCTTCCAAGACTGTGAGGCAGGGCTGCTGGTAGAGCTTGTGCTCAAGCTGCGGCCGGCAGTGTTCAGCCCAGGGGATTACATCTGCAAGAAGGGGGATATCGGGAGGGAGATGTACATCATCAAAGAGGGCAAGCTGGCTGTGGTGGCTGATGATGGGATCACCCAGTTCGTGGTCCTCAGTGATGGGAGTTACTTTGGGGAGATCAGCATCTTAAACATCAAGGGGAGCAAGTCAGGGAACCGCAGGACAGCCAACATCAGGAGCATCGGCTACTCAGACCTGTTCTGCCTTTCCAAGGATGATCTGATGGAGGCTCTCACTGAATACCCAGAAGCCAAGAAGGTCCTGGAGGAGAAGGGACGGCAGATCCTGATGAAGGACAACCTGATTGATGAGGACATGGTCAAGGCCGGGGCGGACCCCAAGGATATCGAGGAGAAGGTGGAGCACCTGGAGTCCTCCCTGGATGCCCTGCAGACCAGGTTTGCACGGCTCCTGGCTGAGTATAATGCCACCCAGATGAAAGTGAAACAGCGTCTCAGTCACCTGGAAAGCCGGGTGAAGATCTGTGGGAGTGACCCTCTGTCTGACGGGGATGCTCCTGGGGAGGCTGAGAAAACAGAGACCAAACAAGAGTGAAAGGCAGAGGTCCGTGCATGTCCTCCTTCCCAGAGTCAGCTGTTGGTGTGATGCACAGTGGCCGCAGCTGAACCGCCCAGGACTCGGTGAGGTTGCATTCCCATTCTCCTTACCCTTTGTAGGCCATGTGGCCCTGGGAGAGAGCCTCAGTTTCCTCATTTAGGAAGGGGTCTCATCATGTCAGCCCCAGTTAAGTGGCAGGTTATTGTGATATCCCCATGGAACACTTGCATGGGGCAGGGTTTGGTACAGTGTGAGGTGTCCCCAGTCCACGAATACAAAAGTGTGCGCACAGAACCCTTATTTTTTTTAATCCATGGGGAATTTTTAGACTTTTGAACTTTATTTTCTTGTAAATGGAAGATTAGTTAGTCATCCACCCCCTCGCACAGCCCATGCCACCACCTTCTGATAAGAGAGATGTAACAGAAGCTAGAAGTACAACCTGGGATCTCAAATTCAACCTTACATGAGACAGTCTAGGGCACATTTCTGAATCTCATTTCTCCTAGCGTGCTCTTTGGGATTCTAGAAATCCTGGCCTTTGGTCGTGCTATGATAAGCATAAGGGATGAAGCCAAGTCGCCCCATTTGAGGTCACTTCGAGCCTTTGAAGCAAACCCAGACCCCCTGCCATCCAGCCCCCGTGAACCCGGAATCGATTTCACAGAAAAGAACATCTCTATGAGGGAAAGAAACATCTCCTTCTAATTCACCAAAGGGGTTTGAAGACAGCCTCTCCCCTTGTTCCTGAGTCAGGAACAGGGGCAGCCTGTTCTGGCTTGAGGGGGAGAGTTATGTTCAGGGGAGAGCCTTTCAGGTTGGAGGTGGGGGTCCTTAGTCAAGCAAAGCTGCCAACTAGAACTTTTAGAAGATCAGACCTTGAGGCGGTATCTTTGCAAACTGCCTCTCCATTCAAAGAGGAAGCCTCACTCTCCCTTGGAATTATATCCAGCGGCAAAGCTCTCATCTAGGCGGAAGTGTGCGCAGGACAGGACCTCGCTTTTTACTTTTTTTATCCAGTAAATAGAATTCCATTATCATTGTATAAGATATTTCTATATTTGGGCTCTATGATTGTGAATTATAACCTTAAGGGCCTATCCTTCACTTAAATACACATTGTAAATTATCCAAAGGTGAGTCATTCTTCTGATACAGAGAAGCTGTATGTGAAGGTTTCCTTCTCTTTTCTCTTTCTCCTTTCTTTTCCTCCTCCCTCTCTCCCTCCCTGCCCCCACCTTCCTTCCTTCTGTCTTTCTCTTCTCTTCTCTTCTCTTCTGACTTCTCTTCTGCTTCCTCTTTCTTCTCAGAAAAAAAAATGCCCCATTTTGCTTCAGGAACTTTGAAGTTTCTATGGTCTGATGTTATAATCCATATGCTCCATAACTAGGCCCTAATGTAGTTCATACAAAAGGTGCTGCATTTTCAAGTATGTATTTTGGATTTATATGGGTCTCTTCTGGTTTTTATTATGGATCATTTAGCCATTTTAACTTTCTAAAATGAATTTAAAAGGACTATTAAAGGAAGATGTGATCCAAGCTCATACCACCAACAAATTGTAACTAGCAATGTATTCTCAAAATGCATATATTTTAAAAGCCTTAACGATTAATTATACATACGTTTATATTTGCACAGGAAAAATAGAGACGTGGATTAAAAATACATTGAATGACTCCTTCTTCATATTTTATCAAAGGGGAGATTTAGTTCTGGGATATGTGTCTAAGGCAGTGAGTAAAACAGGCGCTGGTGAAGAGCGGATAGCCTGTGAAACCCCTTGGGTGCAGAAAACATCACATTGTTTTCCTTGAGGAATAAATGAATTTGGTTTCATCTAGTTAGTTTCCAGCTGCCAAGATTGTTGGGAGGTTGAGTCTCCGGCTGTTTTCAGGACTCCTATTCAGTGTCTCGGAACCTGAGATAAGGTCTGTGTTCTCCCAGCCACTGTGGCTGCCCACTGGAGGCCGTCCCTCCCACTGCACTGGGTTCAGCCACAGGGAGCCATGCTGGGAGACAGGGAGACAACTTCTCTTGGTGCCTTTTGTGGGAGTCTAAGCTCATGGAAGTGTGTGTGTGTGTGTGTGTGTGTGTGTGTCTGTGCATGTGTTTCTCAGAACAGACAGTCCCTGAGACAAGAAGGGAAGGAAATATTGGTGAGCACCCCTCTAGGTGTGGATGGATGCAGGCTCCCTGGCAGAATTCCAGGGAGGTGGGAGGTGAGGCAGGACCTTGGATGAGAGGACTGGACACTTTGGCTCTGGGGAACCCAGCCTGGCAAAGATCCCAGTGTCTCAAGCTTGGAAAGTACCAAAGCTGCTAGACAGCAAGGAACAACACAGAGCTGGACAAAGGGTATCTTGTCAGTAACCAGTATAAAAAGTGTCTGGAAATATTTGTAAATCAATTGATTCATCAAGAGAGACGTCTGCTCCATCTCCCTGAAGCATTGGCCCTCAGAGATCTAATGCTACCAACTATCGAAGTTAAACAGGACCAGGGGGGCGCCTGGGTGGCTCAGTTGGTTAAGCAACTGCCTTCGGCTCAGGTCATGATCCTGGAGTCCCTGGATCGAGTCCCACATCGGGCTCCCTGCTCGGCAGGGAGTCTGCTTCTCCCTCTGACCCTCCCCCCTCTCATGTGCTCTCTCTCATTCTCTCTCTCAAATAAATAAATAAAATCTTAAAAAAAAAAAATTCTTCTGTTCCCTCTGTCACTTGTTTCTCCCGATTCCTTCTTTCTCTTCTTAAATGTTACTTTCCCGGGGCGCCTGGGTGGCTCAGTTGGTTAAGCAACTGCCTTCGGCTCGGGTCATGATCCTGGAGTCCCGGGGTGGAGTCCCGCATCGGGCTCCCTGCTCGGCCGGGAGCCTGCTTCTCCCTCTGACCCTCCCCCCTCTCATGTACTCTCTGTCTCTCTCATTCTCTCTGTCTCAAATAAATAAATAAAATCTTTAAAAAAAAAAAAAAAAAAAAAACAGGACCAGGGATCTAATATAGCTTTATCAGCAAACTCGGGTCCATCTCAGACCCTTCTTCCAGGATGTTATGAAATAGAAGCCAACACAGTTCCCTCTTGGTCTCAGGGCCATTAGTAATACCCTGAGGAAGGGAAGATGTAATGTAATGAACAAAATGGAAAATAAAAACGCTTCTTTGAAGTTCAGAGCATGAATTTTGTCTAGTAAAATTGAAGATTCTCATACCTGTGTCCTAGCAACCCTATCTGGCTCCATATTATAGGAAAAAATTTCAGATATGTGTACCCAGAGGCATGTACAAATGTTTATTGCAGCATTTTTTAATAGAAAAAAGGACATAACCTACAGATCAGAATTTAAAAACAAATTAGGTAAAAATATAATATGTTAGGTATTTCTTGACCAAAGAGAATTTAATAGAGGGAATTAATCGAATGGGCGTCGGAGGGCTGAGAGAGCAGAAAGGGAGCCCTGAGGTTATCCAGAGAGAGTAACTACAGAAAGCAGCTGTTACCCTTAGGGCTGGGGGAGCAAAGGAGAAGGGGTGCTCAGAGGAGAGCCCCTGAGAGCTTCAACTCAGACCTCCGAAGGGGGGCTGTTGCTGGCGGTTACTGGTAATGTAGGAACTCAGAGGAGTTTGGAAAAGGTAGGACTTTGGACATTATCTGAAAAGGGGCATTGTGTGGTGGGACTGGTCCTGAGGAGTCCCAGAAGAAGTTCCCAAAGGAGGCTGGATCCAACCGCCACTGCCGGGGCCATCTGCTGCTATTCTGGCTACGTAAGAGGACTCGTCCCTAACTGTTGCCGAGTAGAGTCCTAGGAAAGGGAAGACAGAGAGGAAGGACATCTTGGACTTGGCTGACAGAATATCTGCTGCAGACTGGAGGCCCTACCTCAGATGTACTTAGACGAGGCGGTCAAGACCCTCTCCCCACTGACTGATGTCTGAAAGCCTACGTCAACGGTTTTTCCTTTGTCCTGAAGCTTCTTCCTTTGGAGAATGCGGAAATCCCTGACAAAAGGCAGGATGGGAACAAGGGAAAGGATCATTCCTCAAGCATCTCCTGTGTGAGGGCATTGCTCTTCATGCTAAAGTATGAATTTACTCTGTTAATAATCGCTCCTGTTGGGGGAAACTTCTTTCCTTAGACATTTATTCTTTAAATATAATCAACATCATTCATTAATTGGTTTTTTAAATGTACACCTATTCTTTGCAAAGCAGAGTTTAAGAATGGCTTTTCTGGAGCGCCTGGGTGGCCCAGTAGGTTAAGCATCAGACTCTTGATTTCAACTCAGGTCATGATCTCAGGGTTGTGAGATTGAGCCCCGCATGGGGCTCCCCACTCAGCACAGTCTGCTTGTCCCTCTCCCTCTGCTCCTCCTCCCTTTCTCTCAAATAAATAAATAAATCTTTATGAAAAAAAAGAATTGCTTTCCTAAAACTCATCTATTAGAATGGCTAAATACAAGAAACTGGCGATGCCAAATGTTTTCAAGGTTGTGAAGCACCACGAATTCTCGTTCATTGTCTGGTAGGTATGCAAAATGGTACAGCTACTTTGGACAACAACTTGGTATATTTTATAAAGTTAAAAATACACTTAACATATGATTACAAAGGGGACACATAGTGGAAGTTTTAGAGTGATGTGTGGTACTGAGGTGGTGGGTATAGGATTCGATGCATCTGTCCAAACTCAGAACCGTACATCACAAAGAGTGACCTTTAATGTATGCAGATTGTAAAATATCAACCAGGATGTGGGACAATCCCAGGATGGAAAGATGATTGTGACGATGGAATTTAACTGCATTAAAAAATATGACATAACCTCACTAAAGGATTTAGGGTAAAATGATGACCTAAGTAATTTTTGGTCAGGATAAGTCATCCAACTTCGTTAATCCTTTTCAAGATTGGTTTGGCTATTCTGGGTCCCTTCCATTTTCATAAAAATTTTAGATCAGCTTGTCCATTTCTGCAAAGAAGGCAGCTGGATTTTGATAGGGATTGCATTGGATTGTAGATCCATTTGGGGAGATATCGCCATCTTATAACTACTGAGTCTTCTGATCCATAAATACTAGATGTCTTTCCATTTACTTAGGTTTTCTTTATTTCTTTGAACACTGTTTTGGATTTTCAGCATAGAAGTCTTGGACTTCTTTTGTTAAATATATTCCTAAGTGTTTTATTCCTTTTGATGCTATATTGAATGGAGTTCTTTTCTTAATTTCATTTTCAGGTTGTTCATTGCTATTTTATAAAAAAAAATACTGATCTTGTATCCCGCATCTTTGCTGATCTGGTTTACTCTAATTCTTTTAAATGGATTTCTTAGGCTTTTCTATATACAAGATAATGTTATTGCAAATAGAGATGGTTTTACTTTTCCTTTTCAGTGTGAATGCCTTCATTTTTTTTCCTTGCTCTCTTGCTTTAGCTAGCATCTCTAAGAAAATGTTGCATGGATGTGGTAGGAGACATCCTTGTCTTCTTGTTCCTGGTCTTAGGAGTAAAGCACTCAGTCTTTCATCAAATATAATGTCAGCTGTGGGTTTTCAAAAGTGCTCTTTGTCAACCTGAGGAAATTCTCTTCTATACCTTGTTTTCTGAGTTTTGGGTGTTGAATTGGGTCAATTGATTTTTCTGCCTCTAATGAGATAATCATGTGTTTTTTGTCTTTTATTAATATACTATATTACCTTAATTGGCTTTTAGATGTTAAACTAACCTTGTATTCCTAGGATAAATCCCACTTGGTCACAGTGTATAACCTTTTCCATATGTTACTAGATTCAGTGTGCTAGCGTATTTTTAGGAGGATTTTAAAATCTATATTCTTAAGAGATATTGGGCTGTAGTTTTTATTATTATTCTGATGTCTATGTCTGGTTTTGGTTTTGGCGATACAGGCCTCATAGAAAGAGTTTGGAAGTTTTTTCTCCTCTTCTAGTTTCTGTAAGTTTGTAAAGGATTCTTTAGATATGTGTTAAAATTCATTAATGGAGACATCTGGGCCTGAGGATTTTTAATTTAATTTTTCAAATTTAAATTCAATTACCAAGGTATAGTACATCATTGGTTTTTGATATAATGTTCAATGATTCACTAGTTCAGTATAACACCCAGTGCTCATCATATCCTGTGCCCTCTTTCATGCCCATCACCCAGTTACCCCATCCCCCCACCCACCTCCCTTTCTGCAACCCTCAGTTTGTTTCCCAGAATCGAGAGTCTCATATGGTTTGTCTCACTCTCTGATTTCTTCCCATTCAGTTCCCCCACCCCCACCTCTATTGTCCTCTGCACTATTCCTTATGTTCTACATATGAGTGAAACCATATGATAATTGTTTCTCTGATTGACTTATTTCACTTAGCATAATCCCCTCCAGTTCCATCTATGTCAATGTAAATGGTAGATGTTCAGCCTTATTACTCAGCCATCAGAAAGGATTTTTTTAATCCTTTTTTAAATTTTATTATGTTATGTTAATCACCATACATTACATAATTAGTTTTTGATGTAGTGTTCCATGATTCATTGTTTGCGTATAACACCCAGTGCTCCATTCAGTATGTGTCCTCTTTAATACCCATCACCAGGTTAACCCATCCTCCCACCCCCCTCCCTTCTAGAACCCTCAGTTTGTTTCTCAGAGTCCATGAGAAAGGATTTTTTTTTTTATGGAATGTTTTAAAGTTACTGATTCTTCCTCCTTCTCCTCCCCCTCCTCTTCTCCTTCTCCTCCTTCTCCTTCTTCTTCTTCTTTGGTCATAGGTCTATGCAGATTTTCTATTTCTTTAGTTTGTTTCATTTCTTTGTTTCTTTCCCAGAATTTTCCATAGTTATGTAGTTTGTTGAAATAAAGTTGTTCAGAATTTCCTTTGTAATCCTTATTATTTATGTAAGGTCAGAAGTGAGGTCTCCTCTCTCATTCCTAATTTTATTTTATTTTAAGATTTTCTATATTTATTTGAGAGAAAGAGAGAGAGAGAATGAGAGAGAGCAGGGGGGAAGGACAGAGGCAAAGGGAGAAGCAGACTTGATCCCAGGACCCTGAAATCATGACCTGAGCCGGAGGCAAATGCTTAACTGGCTGAGCCACCCAAGCACCCCTCTCATTCCCAGTTTTAGTAATTTTAATCTTCTCTCTTCCTTTTTCTTGATCACTCTACGTAAAGGTTTGTCAAAATTGTTAATACGTTTAAAGAACCAACTTTTAGTTTTATTGATTTTTCTGTACTGTTTTTCTACTTGTATTTCATTTGTTTTCATTCTAATCTTTATTATTTCCTTCTGCTTCTTTTGGTTTTATTTCTCTAGTTTCTAAAGGACGAAGGTTAGGTTACTGATTTTAGTTCTTTCTTCTTTTTTAATATGGGTGTTTCCAGCCATAAAATTTCCTCTAAGCACTGCTTTAGTTGCATCCCAAACGTTTTGGTACGCTAAGATTTTATTTTAATTTTTCTTCAAATATTTTCTCACTTTCCATGTTGGGCTCCCTGCTAAGCATGGAGACTACTTAAATAAAATAAAATAAAATAAAATAAAATAAAATAAAATAAAATAAAATAAAATAAAATAAAATAAAATAAAATAAAATAAAAACATAGGGTGACTGGGTGGCTCAGTCAGTTAAGCATCCATCTGACTCTTGATCTCAGCTCAGGTCTTGATCTCAGGGTTGTGAGTTCAAGCCCTTCTTTGGGCTCCATGCTGGGCATGGAGCCTACTTAAAAAAATAATAAAGTAAAATAAAATAAAATAAGATATTTTCTCACTTTCGAGTTCTTTTTTGATCCCTTAGTTATTGAGGGCTGTGTTGTTTAATTTACCCTTACCTGTCATTTCCTTCTGTTGTTGATTTTTATTTTAGCATCATTGTGATCAAAGAACATACTTTGTATCACTTCAATCCTTTTCAGTTTACTGAATTTTCTTAATGGCTTGCCACATACTCTATCCTGGAGAACATTTCATATATAATTGAGTAGTTCGTACGTGTGTTCTGATACTGTTGGGTGGAGTATCCTATAGATATCTGTTAAGGCTAGTTGATTTATAATGTTCATATCTTCTATTTCCTTGTTGATCTGACTCATGGTTTTATCCATCACAAAAAGTGGAGTATTGACATCTTCAATTAGTATTATTACATTGTCCACTTCTTAGTTAAATTCTGTCAGTTTTGCCTCATGTGTTTTGATGCATGATCCTTATAATTATTATATCTTCCTAATGGATTGACCCTCTTATAAAATGTTCCTCTTTGTTTATAGTTTTTGTTTATTTTAAGGTTTATTTTGTCTGATATTAGTGTAATCACTGCAGCACTCTGTTGGTTAGTGTTTCCATGGTATACTTCTGTCCATTATTTTACCATCAACCTATTCATACTTTTGAATTTTAAGTTTGTTTCTGTAGACAGCGCATGGCTGGATTTTTAAAAAATACATCTGCCAATCTCTGCCTTTTGATTAGAATGTTTAGTTTATTTACATTTAATATGACTGGTGATAAGGTAGGACTTATGCCTGCCATTTTGCTATTCGTTTTCTATATATCTTACATCTCTTTTGTTCCTCTATTTTTTTTTTTAAGATTTTATTTATTTATTTAATTGACAGAGAGAAAGACAGCGAGAGAGGGAACACAAGCAGGGGGAGTGGGAGAGGGAGAAGCAGGCCTCCTGCCGAGCAGGGAGCCCTATGCGGGGCTTGATCCCAGGACCCTGGGATCATGACCTGAGCCAAAAGCAGTCGCTTAACTAACTGAACCACCCAGGCACCCCATCTTTTGTTCCTCTATTAATGTCTTCTTTTGTGATGAATAGCTATGTTCTAGTATACTATTTTAATTCCCTTCTTTCTTTTAATCTGTAGCTATATCTATATCTATCTATATCTATGCCCAGTGTTTGTCCTGGGAATTATAATTATCATCTTAATTTGAAAGAACCTGGTTTGTATTAATACTAACCTAATTTCATTGGTATACACAAACTTTGCTCCAATCAAGCAGTTTTATCCCCACTCCTTTATGCTATTATTGCCATATACATTATATCTTTTTCATATTATGATACCAGCAAATCAAATTATATTGTTGTCTTATGTAGTTGTCTTTTAAATCAGAGAGAAGTGTTACAAACTGACTTTTACCTTATATTTGCCTTTAGTTTTTATTCCTCCATGTGAACTTGAGTTACCCTCCAGTGTCCTTTCATTTCAGCCCGAAGGACTCCCTTTAGTATTTCCTATAGGGTGGCTCTGCTGGCAATGAATTAATCAGTTTTTTATTTGGGTATATCTTAATTTCTCCTTCTTTTTTGAAAGAGTTTTGCTGAATATAGAATTCTATATTTACAGCTTTTTTCTTTCAGTACTTTGTGTGTGTGATCTTACTGCCTTCTGGCCTCCACGGTTTCTGGTGTGAAGACAGCTCTGAATTTTATTGAGGATCCCTTGTACATAATGAGTTGCTTCTTTCAGTGCTTTTAAGATTCCCTCCATCTGGGGCCCCTGGGTGGCTCAGTCATTAAGCATCTGCCTTCGGCTCAGGTCATGATCCCAGAGTGCTGGGATCGAGCCCGCATCAGGCTCCCTGCTCGGTGGGAAGCCTGCTTCTCCCTCTCCCACTCCCCCCTACTTGTGTTCCCTCTCTATCAAATAAATAAATAAAATCTTAAAAAAAAAAAAAGATTCCCTCCATCTTTGGCTTCTGATAGTTTGATTGTGATGTATCTAGGTGTGAATCTCTTTAAGTTTGTCCTAGCTGGAGTTTATTGAACTTCTTGGATAAATAGATTAGTGTTTTTCATCAAATTGGGATTTTTTTAGCCATTATTTCTTCAGATATTCTTTATGTACCTTTCTGTGTCCTTCTGGGACTTCCAGTATGTCTATGTTGATATACTAGATGGTGTCCCACAAATCTCTGAGGCTCTGTTCAAATTTTTCATTCTTTTGGTTTTATGTGTCTCAGACTAGGCAATATCAATTGACCTATCCTAAAATGCAAATTCTTTCTTCTGCCAGCTCAGTCCTGCTGTTGTACTTCTCTAAGATAATTTTTACTTCAGTTATTGCACCTTTTAATTTTAGGATTTCCATTTTGTTCTTTTTTATAATTCCTATCTCTTTATTGATATTCTCTTTATTTTGCTCTTGTACTTTTCTTTAATTTTTGAGAAATAGTTTCCTTTAATTCTTTGAATATATTTTCTTTCTTTGGAGATATTTATAATAAGTGACTTAAAGTCTTTGTCTAGTAAGTCCATTTGTGTTTTCTTATGGACATTCTATTCACTAACTTTTAGCTTAGGTCCTTTCCTGTTTCTTTATATGTCTCATAAATTTTTGTTTAAAACTGGACACTTAATATAATAGGGCAATTCTAGAAATCATATTTCCTTCTACCCCAAAGTTTATTATTACTTTTTGTTTGTTTAGTAACTCTATGGGAATAATTCTGTAAGTCTGTGTTCTTTGTCATTTTTAGCCACTGAAACCCTGGCTTGGTTAGCTTAATGATTTGCTAATGATTAGACAAAGATATTCTCAAACACTGGAACCAATATGTCTTTCTGCCTTTATGGGGAGGTTGTGTGTATATGTTGAGGCATGTCTTCAATCCTTAGGCAGGCAGTTTACAATTCTGCCTGAGTCTTCACTTCTTGTTTGTTCAAAGCCTTGAAGTCAGCCAAAAGTGAGAGATTATGGTCTTCTCAAGTCTTTCCTGAGTATGGGTACATTTGCACACATGTGTGTGTCCTTTTATTTTTTTTTTAAGACTTTATTTACTTGACAGAGAGAGACAGACACAAGCAGGGGGAGCAGCAGAGGGAGAGGGAGAAGCAGGTTCTCTGCTGAGCAGGAAGCCCAATGCGGGGCTCGATCCCAGGACCCTGAGATCATGACCTGAGTGGAAGGCAGATGCTTAACAATTGAGCCACCGCGACGCCCTTTGTGTGTGTCCTTTTAGATTTCCAGAATCTAAAGGTTCTAGAATCTTCCCAGAATCTAAAGGTTCTAGAATCTTCCCAGAAGTATGTCAGCTCTTTCCAAAGTCCCCTAAAGGATAGCAATTCCTGATTACTTCCTGTTAAGTTATTTGGTCAGTCTCTTGTTGACTCTAACTGGTATCACTATCTTAGGCAGTTGCAGTGTTGCTTTTACCAAATGCTCTGTGGGTAGGACCATTCACAGAGAGTAAGCTCTGAGTCAAGTCAGTTAAAATCAAGCCCCAAGAACAGAGCTTTTCCAGTGAGCTGCCATTCGAGTCCAATAGTGACATGTCTCTGGGGATAGAGCTCTTCGAGGTGCTCTAAATCCCTTGGCCCCTTCTAGTAGCTGCGTGGCCACTGTTTTTCACAGCTATTATGGCAGCCGGGCTGTTGGTTTTCAAGGCTACATATATTCTCTAGTGAAAACACATATAAATATAAATATATTGTATTTAATGACCCAAAAATAAATTCTCAAGTTGGTTGGCTCTAGTCCCAAAAATAACACTGCTCAGCTCTCAAGTATTGTATGTAGATTATCTAAATCAGCTTATTTATTGTATATAGATTATCTAGGTCCACATGTTTATTGAAATACAGATTGCTTGGTCCCACTTTCAGAGATTCTGATATAGCAGGTCTAGTGTGGGGCCTGGGAATTTGCATGTCTAGAATTACTGAAGAATATGTTAATGCTGCTGGTTGGGGACCTCATGTTGAGAGCTTCTAAAGGATACTTTCCTCCCAGCACACTTACAGGATACTTTCTTCTATCACATCGTGATGCTTAGGGAATGCATAGCACGATATATACTAACAAGCTTGGTTCCCTTTTCTCTTGATAATGTTCACTCTACAGTGGAATTGGGGCCCCACTCCTTGTTATACTGAAACGTGATTATTCTTTTAAAAGTATCCTGAATTACATGCCAGTCAATTGACAAATGTTTATTGGAAGTCTGATCTTCATTCAGTGTTCATTACTATGCTAAATGAATTTTTGAAATTGGACTGATGTCTATTTTTTTAATATTTGTGAATTTATGTTTGTTTCTTTTTTTAAAGCTTATGATTTAAAAACATTCTTGGCCTGATTAATGCTAGGAGGGCCATCTGCACACTTTTGAGAACACTTTTGAGATGTAAAGGGGATCTTATTTATACTTTTGCTAGATAACTAGCAAACTGGTGTAAACTGGGGCTGTCCCTGGTAAACCAGGTATATTGGTCACCCTAATTTTAGAAAATAAGATATAAAAACATTTTTGCATTTCCACAAGTTTGATTTTCTTGGCTTTAATTTTATATTAGGGTTAGGTCAATCTTTTTTTCTATTTATCTGAAGAAATAGTAAAAAGTGTTTTGTTAATAAATTCCTTTTCAGAGGAGAAATAAAAAGTCAGTAAGGAAATTGAACTTTAAAAATAGTTTTATGTTTATTTTTATTCCAAACTATTGCCTGCATTTGGATTTTGGCGACATGGGGAGGCTTAGATCTAACTCTATATGAGATTAGAGAATTCTTGTTTAATTTTTGTTTTCTACCCAATTAATACCTTTTCTTTTTAAAGCAAATTATAAATGCTTGCTTTTACAGCTGAGGAATATGAACTGATACGTGTTCTGGCTTATTGAATTAAAATAGTTTTCACTTAAGAATTTTTTTCTAATAAAATTTAAAGACTTCTTGGGGCGCCTGGGTGGCTCAGCTGGTTAAGCATCTGCCTTCGGCTCAGGTCATGACCCCAGGGTCCTGGGATCCAGCCCCACATCGGGCTCCTGGCTCCGCGGGGAGCCTGCTTCTCCCTCTCCCTCTGCCGCTCTCCCTACTCATGCTCTCTCTCTGTATCTTAAAGACTTCAAAATAAAATACATGCTGGTAAGTGGCGAGAGTCTATAATTGCATATTTATACAGTTATGCCAGAACAGGTCTGCGAGGGTGTTAGTAGTTTCTTCTTTCTGCTTATCTGTATTTTCAAAGTATGATTTTAATTTTTGCTTGTTCCTGGGTTGAATGTTCCGTTTCCTAAACGTCTGCTAAGGATTGTGTGCACCTGCACCACGGGAAGCGCGCTCACCTTGGGGGCAAACGGCCGGTGCGTTTCACCCGGCGGCCGCTCGTCTATGGAACCTTCTTAGGGGATATGTTCGGGCCTCCCAAGACTCAGTATATGTGAGGGCGAAAATGCCATCGTCCGATTAAGTCCAGAAGTTCAGGAACTCCTTGTAGGAGTCTCGGTCCCGGATAAGAGTGGAGTCTTGCGGGAACCTACGAGTAGAAGCCAGCGCGAGAGACGCCGCCTCCTGGGAGGCGGACCCGGAGAGGTGGGGCGGCCCGGCCGGGGCTCGCGGAGCGCGCATGCGCGGAGAGGGGGCGGGGCCGGGGCGGGGCCGCGCGCGACCTCCGGAGCGGCGGCGGCGGCGGCGGAGTTCGGGCTGCTGCGCGGGCGCCGGGTTCGCGGCCGGCCGGCGCAGGAGGACCAGCACCTAGAGCCGGGCCACAGCCCGCGACTTGGTGACCAAGCGGCGGCGCTGCTGCTGCGGGGCTCGGGCGCGCGGCCCGGCGGGACCGAGGACGGCGGGGCAGCAGGGCGCGGGCGCCGCGGGCCGGGGCGCGCCAGGTAGGTGGGCCAGGCTGGGCGCGGGGGCGACGCGGCGGCGGCAAGCAGCCGGGCGCAGGGATGCACCCGGCGGGGCGGGGCGCGGCGCGCATCTCGGTGCCGGGTGCGCCGGGCGGAGACGGCGCCCGCGGTTGTCATGGAAATCCTACAGCCTAGCGGTTCGCCGGCGGTTGCGTCTTTGGAGAACAATCCAAGCGTGGCCGACCCCTAAGCCAGAGGGAGACCCGGGCCGTCTCGCGCTGAGCGGAGGGCGGAGCTGGAGCGGGCGATGGCAAGTCAGGATGCAGGACGCGGCGACCCCGAGGCCACATCTTGGCTCTTGCTTGGATCTACTGATTCCAGACGCTGAAGGCCTCGCTGTGTCTCGGGTGTAAACATAACCGGGTAAAAATAAGCATGCATCTCAGTGTATGACATCTGGTCTCCATCCTCTCAACTCTTCCCTTTTCTGCCGGGCCATAGCCCCCCGACATTTCTGGCATCTTGGCTTTTTGTATATTATTTCTTTCTGGCTGTACTAGTCAATTAATTGAGGCCTGAGAAATTTGCAGGGATCTGTGACCATCTCTTGAAAAGCCAATCATGATTGTGTAGGCCATAGAAGATTGAAACACTCAAAATGTCAAAGGTAAATTTATGTCTTTGTGGGCGAAGGGATGGGGATGGGCTTGCTTTCCCTTCCCCCCTTGTCGCCTGCCCTCTGACATTACATAATGTTGTGTTCCTCCCGCCCCGAGTTCATCCACAATGACAGATCATGAAAATATTCCTCTTGTTGAGAAAGAAGTATAAACAGTTGTAAAGCCCATTTTCTTGTCTTTTGCTTTGCCACTGGAAGTGTTTGGTTGGGAGGCTGCTTAAGAGTAGAATGCCCACAGGGCATCTAAACCAAGGGAGTAGGGGGTGGGGTGGCATTTCGAATGTTGCAGTGAAATTCTGCCTGATTCATCTTGGTTCGCAGTGGATTGGGTGGACTGTGGGCAAGCCAGTGGGATTGGGGCCTGAACAGGCCGACTTGGGTGTGAATCCTGGATCTGCCACTTGCTAACTCTGGTTCTCAATGTTCTCAGCTCTAAAAGGTGAGAACAGAACCTGCTTTGCCATTTGTTTTGGGATGTAGATGCTGTTGGCATTGGTAAATGCACATATAATAGGTTGTCCTAGAATTAAACTTAATTTTTCATTGGTTGAAAACAGGCTTTAAGAGGAATTTTGATTCTGGATCTAGGCTAGGGCCTTTGTTGGGGGATTTTTGTTAACATGTTTACTCTTGGAAGATTTGATTCATTGATTTCTCTGAAGAAAGATGAATGATGGTGCCCACATGGGGAGTCCAGTGTAGTGGTTCTGTTGGAGGGTTGCTGTCAGAAGACCATGATGCTGTCCCAAGGGTGGTTGTTGCTTGTGAATGGAAACCCACAAGGCATCATTCCCTGTGGTGTCTTCTAAACACACCTCTGTAACAACCAGCCAAAGTTCCTGGCAGGGTGTGCCCTGAGGATAGGGCTTAAGTGAAAGGAAGCTGGACGGATGCAGAGAGAAAGGAGGGCTTTTTCCTGGGCTCAGCAATAGAATTGGCTCTGCTGAGCCTGGTGGCTGCTTTATGTCTCGGTTTTTCATTAGGCTTACGCCATCTCAGTGTTTATCTGCTTTAGACTGGAAGTCAAGGGGAGACATTATAGTTTATTCCATTGTTTGGGAAACCGGGTATCTTCTTGTATTGCTGTTAAACTGAGTATTAGGATTTTTTTTTTTTTAAGTTGCTTTAAGGAAAGGATGAAATAAAATAATATACACAAGAGCTTGCTGTGAACCGTAAAGCACCAGAAAGATGGGGGTGTATATGACCAAGAGAACCACTGACCCTACAAGTCCCTTTAGCCAGTGGCCTACCTGGGAACATTCTGCTCAGCCAGCAGATCTGCGAATGCACCCGAGGAATGGTACAGAAAGGTGCGTGGGACTAGCTGACCGGTGACCCCCCCCCCCCCCCCCCCGCAGCATCTCAAGTATCCAGTAAGACAGAGGGGTGGGGAGACTTTGGACCGAGGTTGGACCCTGCTTCTTATGAAAAACTCCTTTATTGATTACATATTCCAGCAAAGTTCTCAGCATCATCAGCTACTCATGGTGTCAGGATGCTTTGGCTTTCCTTGAGGAAAAAAGAGTACAAATCTGCAGGGAAGAAGGTTTGATTATGTGGTTGCTTCTATTGTAGAACTTGATTAATGAGCTGGTCTTGAGAGATCCTTCAAAACATATTTTTCTAGCGTTCTGGAAGAGAAGCTCTGTGAGGAGAGTGTATTCTGGGGAGACCAATATTAACACCATTTTGCTTAAAAGCAAAATGCCATCATGAACCGAATCCCTAGGAATTTATCTATATTTCTGTACATATGCACACCTTGCTCTTTTTAAATTGTTAAAAAATATTTCAGTTTTACTGAAAAGTTGCAAGAATAATCCAAAGAATTTCCATCTATCCTTTACCCACATTCTCCAAATGTTGACCTTTGCTACATTTGCTTTATCCTTCTCTCATATTTGTTCATGTGTCATTACTTTTTTCTGAACTGTTTAATGGTAATCTGCAGACATGAAGCCCTTTTACGACTACTTTATTGTGTATATCTTAAAAACAAGGACATTCTCTTACATAACAATATAGTTATTAAAAATCAAGAAATCAAATATTGATATAACACTATTATTTAATATCCAGGTCTTTTTCAGATTTTGCCAGGAGCTCCAATAATGTCCTTTGGAGCAAAAGAACATCCAAGATTATACATTATGTCAGATTGTCCTGTCTCTTTATTGTCCTTTCATCTGGACCAGTTACTGAGTCTTTTTTTGTATTTCATGACATTGACATTTTTGAAGACTGCCACTTGTTTTTTTTGGATAATGTCTCCCAATTTGGGTGTGCCTGCAGTTTCCTCATGATTAGATTAAGATTACGTGCTTTTGGCAAACGTAGCCCAGGGGTGACCCTGCAACCATCTCAGCGTGCCCCAGCAGAGGGAGGCATATGCTGTTGATTAGTCCCATTCACTGGTCGGGTTATCTTTGATCACTTGATTAAGGTGCTGTCTTCCAGGTTCCCTTAACAGAAAAGTTACCATTTTCCCTTTGTAACTAATATGTATCTCTTAGTAAGATTAACTCCGGACTCTATAAATATACTGTTACTCCCCATACTTTGACTCACTAGTTTTAGAATCCATTGATGATTCTTACCTGAACCAGTTATTATGCTGGCTGACAGATGGTGATTTTCTAATTCCATATTTCTTTCTATACTTACCTGTTGGAATTGTACTGAAAGGAAGAACATTTCTTTCTCCCTTGTTTATTCTTTGATTTACACTCTGCACTCATGAATTCCTGTTTTATGCAATAGATTATAGTCTCTTACTCTTGTTATTCATTTTGTTGCTAAAATTGTCCCAGACTTGGCCTGCAGGGGCCCCTTATGTCCTTTTGACATGTCCTCATCATTCTTGGAGGACTTCTTTACTCCCTGGCATAAAACCTTCAACACTCGGCTTTTAATTTCCAGGCCTGGAATTAGCCATGTCTCCAAAAAGAGTCTTTGTTCCTTGTAATGGAGAATGGTATTTAAAAACCGAGATCTGGATGCTAGGTGTGCTCATTGCTACTCAGGGGTTGTTGCCTCTAGGCCTTTTTAGTGGACATGTGCACTCATTCACACATTACACAAAATTTTCTCTGATTTGCATTTTAAATTTAGTGCTGTGTGCTGGAGATCTATATGTACTGACATGAAAATGTTTTTGTTTTTGTTTTGTTTTGTTTTTGGTCTGTGTTCCAGAGTATGGGTTTATCATAATTTGACTGTCCTTTATCAATGGACATTTAGGTTATTTCCAATTTCCTACTCTAAAAATAGTGGAGAATCTGTGAATCAAATTATTGTTAATACTCACAAATATGTCCGTCTTCTAGATCCCTAGAAGTATAATATCTGGGTCAAGGAGTAATTTTAAATGGATAGCTCTGCCAAATTGCCCCCACTTCTAAGAGGCTTTCACTTTGTACTCCTTCCATTAGGATGTGAACTGCCTATTTCTTTTGAACTCTGCCAACACTGAAGAGTATAAATCTTGTCAATTTTTGCCAATCTAATGGATAAAGAAGGCGTTATTATTTTAATTGCATTTCTCAGATTACCAAAAATATTGAAAACTTTTTTTTGTGCTCACTTCTACTTTTGCTTGTGTGAATTACCTGTGCATATCCTTTGCCCATTTTTTCTCATTAGGTTATTCTTTATATTACTGCATTGTGGAAGTTACTGTAACTTTAAACTTTATTCTTGGCAGCCTTAGAAGTCTCCTTTAAGCCTGATGCATTTTTCATCCTAGAGAAGGAAGCTACCATTTTCTGAGCACCCCCTACTACATCCCAGGCCCCCGGCCAAGTGTTTATATGCATCCCCTGCAAGGTCTTGTGAGAAGGTGAGCTGTGGTATTGAGGAGGAAGCTGGGTGAGGCGTGGGTAAGGTATCCACCTAAGAGTGGTTAGAAGAGCTTGAACTGGGATTCAAACCCAGGTCTGTCTGGATCTAGTACCATTTCCATTAAATCACATAGCTTCCTGCACAGGATTTAAAAATAAATATTTTATTGTATCAATGTAGGGATGGGAATTAATTACCAGAGGCCCCCAATATCAAATATTTCTATTGCTAGTATTTTGATCTGTACGTAAGGAACTTTGGGCATACACATCTTTCAAAACCATTTATTTTATTTCTCGAACTGTTGTGGACTCTGGAGCCAAAGTCCCTGTGAGCCTCCAGCAGCTATGTGACCTTGGGCAAGTAGCTTAATCTTTCTCTATCTTGGTTTGCTCGTCTGCAACCGCAGAGTCTTGTTGGGGGGTCAAATGAGTTGATACACCAGGTGCTTGGTTGGCACCTGATTCCTGCTATCTCAGGAACATGAATCTTGATGATGAGTTCACGTGTGCAGCAC